GGACTAGCACTATAGTCTCATAAAAATTAGCTAAATGAGGACTGAGCCATCTCTCTTTATTGCCAGTAAATGCAGTAGTGATGTCTGCACAGACTTAACTAGTGCTGCACAGACAAAGTAATTTTTGTGGGGGCAAGGGTACTCCTTTGATGGGTACGCAAACCTGCATTCTCACTTAAGAACTGGAAAATTGAGCTCATTATGATTTGCTATCCATCAAGACTTCCTACTCCGAAGAACACAATTTTAAAAGGAATGCATTTATTCCATCTCAGATTTTTGGTGTGTCTCCTCCCCACCCCCCCAGCCCCTTAAAGCATAACAAGCTTGTCAGAGTTTCCATGGTGAACGTGGGGCACCATGGAAACTGATAGATTTAGCTACACAAAAAGAATAAATAAAATAGGCAGGCACTTATTTCGCTGTGGATAGGAGAGGGAAGTGGCTTCTCGTTTAACCCACCTGCCCCTTATTCTCTGTGCTTCATGAAAACATGAGTTCTTTTCCCTGGATCATTTTACTAACCTATGCTAATCGGATTGTTTATCTTCCCAAGGTCCTCCTTCTATTCCTACTTTGGTTTTACTTCAGGGAGGGTCTGTGTGTCACTGGCAATGGTTGAAAGACCATGGACAACGTGAAAGTTGTAGATGGCAACGCACAGTGCAGTGACCAAGGGAGTCATGGGAAACGGAACGGAAAAGCCTTCGCCGTCTGCTGTGAGGAGCCAATGTGTGAGGATAACTGTCGTCAAGACCTGGGTCCATCCTGTCCTAAGTGGAGAGGCAAGCTAATGCCCCTGAACCTCAGTTTCTTCGTCTCTGAAATGACTAATGTACACCCTCTTCCTACTTTATAGGGTTGTTGTGACAGAGTAGACAAGAAAGCCTTTTGAAACAGGTCATGTTCTATCTAGCAGGAGAGATTGGCTCGTTGCAGGTATAATTACACCAATAAGATGATCAAAAGGTCAAAACTGATCATACTATGGCCCCGTCCTTTGCCTCAGGCAATTAGAGGTTCGGGTCTGATGTAGTAGTTGGGGAGTTTTGAGACCACTTGTTTCCATCTGAAGTAGGGAGAAATGTGAGTTTAAGTAATGAAGCTTTTTTGCTTTCCTGTATGTTTGAAAATTTTCATTATAAAATGTTGTAAAACTAAATCAAGGAAATAAAGCTCTTTCCTTTTTTAAAAAATACGCTTTTATTGATTTTAGGGGGAGGGAGAAGGAGAAACCTCAGTGGGCTGCCTCCTGCACTCCTTCTGCTGGGGATTGAACCCACAAACTGGGCATGAGCCCTGGTGGAGAATCACACAGGGACTTCTCACTGCATGGGACAATGCTCAACCAACCGAGCCACCCCGGCCCAGGCTAAAGCTCTTTCTTGAGTTCTAGTCCCAGTGAAAATCTCACCATTAACACACTATAGCCCCTTATTTTTTAATCACTAAAATAAAGGCATTAGAGCCATCTCTTGAAATTCAGCATTTATATAAATCTGTTGAGCAGCTCCTCTTGGCCAGGCTCTGTGTTAGGGGATACAGAGAAAGAAAGGAAAGAAAAATAGCATGGTTCTTTAGGAGAACACAATCTTCTGGGGAGACAGACTAATAAAGGAGGAGCACGGAACACCAGAGAGAGGGGAAGTGTAAAGAGGGGCGGGGGCTGAGCAATTCAGCTGAAGGATTTGATCAGGGAGAGTGGGTAGTCAAGTGAGGCAGGCACCATGGAAGGCTGTACAAGGGCACTGCAGACAGTGAGACCGTGAGCCACACTGATGCACAGTGGGTAGGAGGGAAGGAAGAAGAGCCTGAAGAAGCCTCCATACAAAGGAGAGTCTCTTTTCTTCAGAAGGCAGTGAAATGTGGGGTGCGGCCCTGAAAGCGCACAGCATTGGTGGATTTCCTTTGAGAATTGCATTGGTGAGGGTGAAAGGAGCCATTACTGACAGGGAATAGTAATACTAGAGACTAGCAGTGAAATGTACATTGAATAATAATCTCTAAGCCTCTTTCAATTCTAACCGTGCATGAATTTAAACACAGGCTATAGAAAGAGCTGAAGAATAGAAACTGCGATTTCCTTGAGACGATGGAAATACAATCTATACCATTTGTTGCATACTTTTTCCTGATGAGTATAACCATATTAACCAGAAGCCAGCTTGCAATGTGTTTCGACTGTTTCAAAGGTGACTATAAAAGCTCTGCACTCCTTTTCTGTTCCAAACCTTAGTAACCTTGAGAACATTTCCCTGGGGAGACCAGGACCGGCTTCACAATGGCAGGAGGACCAACAATTTTTAAAGGAGTCTCCGAGTCTGAGGGTGGAGAAGGGGTGAGAGTGGGCAGCAAGCCAAGACTTGGTGATGTGTGGCCGAGCTGAGGGTGCTGGATCCTGAGCGAGGGGTCTCAAACTGGGCTGGGAATGGAAGCAGACAGTGCACTGCTTGGGAGAGTGAGCACTTACCTGAGGAATGCAAATGCCATGTCACGTGGAGGCCTGTGGCCATTCCTTCTGCTTTATTTAAAGATCTACTTTATTTAAAGCTACACTATAATTACTCATACCATGAGCCACAGGCAACAATATCAGTAAACATCAAAACAAAATTCCCCAGCAATTCCATGGTCTCAACAGAACAGTAGCCACTGTTTGGTATATCTTTTTTTTTTTTTTTAATCCTCACCCGAGGACATTTTTTCATAGAGCAAGAAGGAGAGAGAGAGGAAGAGAGAGAGAGAGAAACATCAACGTGAAAGAGACACATCGACTGGTCATCACCCACACAACCCCAACTGGGGCCGGGGACAAACTGCCACCCTTAGTGGGAACTGAACCCGGGTCTCTCTGGACCACAGGCCGATTCTCTAACTGCTGAGCCAAACCAACCAGGGCTGGTATATCTTTTCAAGTCTCTCCATTTTGCCTATAGGTGTTTCATGATTTTTAACCAAGCATAATGCCATTAGAAAAGACAACAACTGAACATTTTAACTATATGTAATTCCCATGTGGCTACATATTTCCCCTGATTATTTTTAATAACTGCCTAATATTCTACTGAGTAGATACATTCTAATTCACTAGTCTCAATTGTTGGATATTTAGGTGACTTTCATTAGAAATAGATTAGCTGTGTCTGTTTTAGGGAACCAACACATCTTTTAGAAGCATGTGATTGACTTCTTTTTTGTAATAACAGCCAGACATTTTCTTCCTTCTCTTTCCAAGGTTTGTGTGTGCACAGGCCTAGGTCAAGAGGATGTTTTCAGTGTCTGGCTGTTGGGGCTGCCAGGAGGGAGTGTGGTCTTCAGGATCGGGAGGAAGGGCTAATGTCTCCACGAGGCAAGTGCAATGCTCTCAGCTCCAGGGCTCCTTACCTGAGTGTTTGGTAGGAGGGTGGACATGGGACTGAGTTTTCTGGATTTTGAGACTTCCCATTCTAAAACCAGGGAAGTCTCCCATAACCTGGAATGAGTTGATCACCCTAGACAGTGGGGGAAATGAAGGAATTGAGAAAATAATAAATTGTTCATATAAGCTAACCTTATATTAGAAAGGCAACAATTCAGAGAAAGCCTGCTCATGCACCACAATGTAACATTTATTCTTTATGTAAGACTCCAAACTGGATATTTATCTCGGGTTATTGCTCTGCTCCCAGAAAAACCGTTTCATCATTTATTCAGTAAATATGTATGAAACACCAAGCATTGTTCTAAGCATAAAGCCCTGTGCTTGGGGTACTTTTATTACTTTTTGTGTACGTGTATTGGGGGAAGTGAAGCAGAAATAAATGAAAAAACATGGAATCCATGTGGATGGATATGATAAATGCAGTGTCCACTAAAGGATGAATTAATGAAATAGACATTTCTGGGGCAGGGGGTTGCTACTAGCTTGGTGGTGGGGGAAGGTTGCTCCGAAGAACTGACAACTGAGGTAAACCAGTAGTAAGAAGAGCTGGCCATGTGAAGATCCACAGGAGGCATTAGGGGCAGAAGGAGCAGCATGTGCAAAGGCCCTGAGTGGAAAACAGTTGGTCTTTTGGGAAGAACTTAGTGAAGGGCTTTATGGGTGTAGTGTAGGAAAGAAACACTAACATAGAAGCAGTCTTAGCAATTACCCAGTCCAAGTTCCACTTTCACAAATGAGGATGATAAGGATGCTGAGGCCCTCCTTCGTTGACCTTAGTCTCTTGGTTCCTAACCCAGCACTTTTCCACTGAGCCATTTCACACTGCCATTCCTAGCTAGTTGGGTTGAGTATTTATTTTCCCTCCTGGCATAACTAGAAAGAAATCAAAGAGATTAATTTAGGTATGAGAAAAATTAGAATTGTTTGTGGATGGACAAAAGGACCAACATATTGGCCTCAAGGTAAAGAGAGGTAGTCTGGGGTCCGGATTAGCCTCCAGTGGTGGAGCTCCCCGGAATTCTGTAAGCTCTGCTTCCAGACCATTAGGTTGGGACAAATTCTGCATTTGGCAGAAACTGAAAATAAAACCTGTCTGTAAGGTTGGCAACCCTAACCCACCTTTCACCCATTAGTCTAAACCGACAGGGCTGAACGGAGCTGCGGGTGGTACAGGTTGAAGAGTCCAGGATTTGGCCACTAACAGCCTTACGAGTTTAAAGGACAGAGAAAACAGGCATCTGAAACGCCAGCTGTGCCAGCTGAAGAAAGATGGGGGAGATCGGGGGATAGAGCAAAATCAAATTTAGTGACCAATTCAAGGTACAGGGCTGGAATCCTGACTCCCTCAGCTCCTTCCTTCATCTGCTCCTTGTGTGGGTGACAGCCACCACGGATGAAAAGAACTGCAACGTGAGGGGTGATTTTGGAAATTCAAAGAGTTAATGTATCAAAACCTAACGCAGAGGAGAGAAAGACCCCATCCACCGGAGCCAGCAGAGGAGGAGAGAAAGACCACACCCACGGGAGCTTGTGCCAAGTCCAGGGAGGAAAATCCTATTGGTATGGAAGAGGCAGGGAGCCAGCCCCTGGGCGCGGCCTGCAGGGGGCAGGTGATCGCCAGGGAAAGCGGGGGCAGGACCAGGCTGGAGCTGGTTCAGTAGCCGCCCGCAGCCACGGGAGCCCTCGTTGCGCCTCCGCCCGGTGCGCTCTGCTCGGCCCGCCGACCCGGCTCTGCGCTCGGCCGCCTGACATGTGTGCCGCCCGGATGCCGCCCCTGGCGCATATCTTCCGAGGGACTTTCGTCCACTCCACTTGGACCTGCCCTATGGAGGTGCTGCGGGATCACCTCCTCGGCGTGAGCGACAGCGGCAAAGTAAGCGGGCGCAGGGTCTGGCGCAGCCCGATTGGCGGGCGGACGGACAGGTGGAAGGAGTCGCGCAAGGTGCCCCGCGAGCCCCGAGTTCGCTCGGTGCAGGGCGAGTGCCGTGGCCCCAGAGTTGAACTTGAGTGCTTGGTGCTGGGGAAGCCGAAAGAATCCTGGCGTTAGGTTCTTGGGCCGGCCAGGGAGTAACGTGTTCCCAGAAGCCGGGAGCCATTGGTTCGACAGCCGTCCAGGCGGTAGTGAAGGGAGAGCGAGGCTATTCCCTCGCAAATCTTAAGAGAGCATTAGTGGACTTGAACCTCACTTCATTCATCTTTGTCTATCGGGTACTTGGCACAGTGGCTGGCACAGGCTAGGCGCTACGTAAATTTATTGCGAAAGGAATCACAGAGGAGGGGAAATTTGATCAGTGGTCTTTAATCCTTTCAGTGCATAGAATAAACAAGTACTAATTTCATTCACGTGATCATTCAACAGACAATATACTTCCTAATGATTCAAACTAAACAACTCGTAATAGTAGAAAGGATAGTCTGAGAGAAATTATCCACCCCACTCCCCCAACTCACCATTTGCATCAAAGCAAGCAGTTCCATTTTAAGGTGCAAAATGTCTTCTATGAGTGTATCTTCTACATTTTCTTTTCCAAAGTCAGGGTTTCTGCAAATGACATGGGTAACTTGATGTCTAATAGTTCCTGTTCCAAACTCGGTGGTAACTGTATCAGTAGTGGCCTGGCCAGTTTGATAAGTGAAAGGCATTACATTTTCAGAAGAAAAATATCTAAGATGGGGATGGGAGATTTTTGAGCTTTTCCCCATCAGTTTGTTTAACAAAAGAACATGTATTGTGACTTGTCAGCTTGACGATACTATTCCTGACTAAAGATTCTTCCAAATCAGTGGGAGTTTTGTATGGTGACTCTTACATTTGGGAATAACTAAACCCTGTTTTCCTATGGTGCTTAAAAAAATATTCTCCGTGCTGTTGTGTTTCCAAGGTGATCGAACTCTCAGAGTTCCCCCAAATGGGGATACTCCCCAAAACACTAGGACCGATTAATTATATTGCCTTGTGTACTTTAGCCCCAAAGTTTCAGGGAACCCTTAGGCTCAGGGCAAGTCCCAAGAAGCAAAGGAACAAGGACTGCTAAACTGGGAAAGGTCAGAGTTGTTTGCCTAACCACAAGGAGGTGTTTGACTCTTGGGATAATTTTTAAAAATTAATTTCCCTTATCCAGAATTTAATTGTAGGATAGCAGGCAAGAGAGTGAGTTTGAGGACTGGCTTTAACCAGTGAAGAGGAATAAGAAAAGGAAGTAATTTATCTAAAAAATTACCTTTGCTGGGTGTTGTACAGAAGAAGAATAAAAGAGTGTCCAGAACATATAATTAGTAGTTGAGTCAGGAAGTCTATTCCTAACTGTGAAACATACTGAAGTAATAAATTTAGAAAAATGCCTTTTCGCCACAAGATAAAATTAACTAGGAATTGAATACAAATGTGAGTTAATCAAGTGGCTTTAACTGATTGTATAAAATGCCCTAATCACTGAATTGGTGACTGTTTACTGCTCTGCTCCTAGGTGCAAAGCAGTTGATTTCTGACTGTGTGTAAAGGGAAAGACGTGTCATATATAAGTCAGGACTTGATTTCTCTCGTTTTGAAAGCGGGCATGCCTTGCCTTTGGAGTTGCTGGGATAAATATCTTATTTACTTAAAAATATTCAAATTCTAAGCAGAAAATTATATCTCCATGATAAACATGAGGCATTCTCATGATCTTTACATTTTTACTGAGCTCCAAAAGCTGTTCTCAAATGTTGGGATGAATCAGAAACATCTAACGGGTGCTTATCAAAATGCTGCTTCCTGGGCATCATCCTCAGAGCATCTGAATCTGTAGGCCTGGAGGTTCCAACACAGGTACTGGGTGGATTACATTTTGGGTAGCCACCGTGTATAGGCTGTGTGATAGAACCAGTTGTCTGGGTTCTTGGGAGCTCAGTTACCTGCTTTGAGTTCAGGTCTGGAGTCGCATCTCAGAGAGAGGGGACATGACTTCCTCCGTCCTTCTCCCTTTCCCTTCTAGACCTCATCCCTTATTTCATATAATTCATTTAGGCCCAGAGAATGGTAATGACTCACTACTTTTAATTGATTAAAGCTCATTCAAAATTAGGTTAGTTAAAATTAATTCTCCAGTCAACATTTTAGTATTGGGCATTTTGAATTCAGAGTTAGTTTTTCCACTTAAATGACATGTAGGTGGGGGAAAAAAGGAGAATCATCTGTAACAAAAATTAATCAATAAAAAAAAATGACATGTAGCTTTTCAAAAGAAAGAGCCCAGCCTGTATAATTCATTTGCATATATTTAATTAATCTCGAAACACTGTATGCTCAAATATTACCAAATTGCCTGATTCCACAAGCAACAAGATCAGGTTGATTTTAAAGATTAAGTAAAGATGCCTTGTGTCTTTTAATGCACATTTACATGGAGGCAAGAGCAAGGAAGACAATCATTTTGGAGGTAATGTCCTGGAATAGAAGAAGAAAGTCTTGTGGAGAAACAGAGACCTGGGTTCAAGTTCGGTCTTTACCATTTACCTGCTCACTTACAACCTATGTGAATTTGATCAAGTTACTTAATTCTACTTCCAAGTTTCCACATGTATAAATATTACTATAGTCTACCTCATAGGGTCATTGAAAGTATTAAAAAGAATAAATAGTTGTCAAGTGCATAGATTAATGTCTTGCATGTAGCACATGCCCAATAAACACCAGCAGTTATTATCAGCAATGGAGATGGAGAGAGGTGGACAAAATTGGTAGCTTTCGTGTCAAATAACCTGGATTGGGTTGGAAAAATGTTTGTGAATGTGTTAAATTGTTTCATGGGATACAGATTGGCTGGTGATAGAAAAAGCTTGATGAAGGAAGCCAAAATTGAGATGGACATTAAAGAACACATAGTACTTGGACATGCAGAGAAAGGTTAATTGGCTCTGGTGAAGGGGGTAAGTCAATGATCTATAAATCCCCAGACTGCCGGGAGGAGCAACACTTTTATTTCACCTGAGACTGCATCACCATCTTGCTTTGTCAGGAGTTCTCACAGGGTAAATCACAAATTTTAGTGGTTCTGAGTCATGCTTTCTTTCTGCTTGGGGAGGTGGAGACCCATCTTCCTGCCAAGCACAGGACCTCAGAATATCCTGCGAACTTGAAGAGGAAGTTTGGGTTAAGCCCTCCTTTCTGTGACTGTCAAATCAGCTTTGTTTTCATTAGAAACATGCTCATGCCCAAGTATCATGTTATTATCTTGCAAATTCCTACTTTCCGGAAGGTAGATTGTTCTGTTCTTTCATTTGGGACATGTTTCTTTATCTCCTCATTTTGTCTGCCTCCCTATGTTTGTTTCTTTTTATCAGGTATAGTTGCTATGTCCCCTATGCTTCATAGGGTGGCCTATTGTAGTAGGTGTCCTGTAGGGTCCAGTGGCACAGCCTCCCTGTTCACCCCAGCTGGGCCCACGAGGTGCACCCCTTGTGTGGACTGTACCCTCTTCTGTTGTAATTGAGTCTTGATTGCTGTTGGTATATCAATGGGAGGCATTTACTCAGGCTGATCAGCTGCAAGGACTGGCTGTGCCCTCTGACTACCTTGGAGGATCAGCTGTGCAGGGGCCCACTATCCAGACCAAGATGTACTTCCTCAGGGCTCTGGTACCCACTGAGTCCACTCCTTGAGTGTGTCAGTTGTGGAGGTGATTGGGTGGTGGTGTTTTGATGTGGTCTGAAGCTGTCTACTGGGTGTGCTGGCTCTGGAGCAAGGTCAGCCACTGACTGTGTACTACCCAGGGCCACCAGACGTAAGCTACAAAGCTATCTGCAGATGGCTGCTTCTTGTGCTGGGCTTGGAGGTGCCCAGGCAAAGTCAAGCTGTGAACCAAGGCTGGCTACTTCTAGTGCCAGGCCTGGGGCCACTTAGCAAGAGGGATGGGGCCTGCTGAGGTCAGATGCTGCTTGTTTGAGAGGATTTAGGAAAATCTGAAGCAAGAACCAAGACTGGTCAACCCTATGGTAAAGCCACTGGAAATAGCATGGGTGGTTCCAGGAGTTGGGTGGGGCAGGGCCTCAGGGAATCACCAGGGCCAGGCAAACAGTGTGAGCCATGTTTTTGTAGTCACAGGTATGGTGCCTTTCTGCCTGCCCCTGGGGGAAGGGCCCACCAATGGGACAACAGTCTCCACCAGCACGTCTGTCCAGGAGAAAGCTGCCTCTCCAGCTCTGGCCCTGATGCCAAACAACTCAGTTCTTCCCCATATGTCTCTGGTGCCTTTCAAGCTGCCTCCCCCACACTGGAGCCTGGTGGGAGCAAGACAGAGCAAGTCCATGTGCGGGCCCTTTAAGAGGAACTGCCTGGGCTCCAGCAGCCTCAGCCTCTCTCAGCCTCAGTTCCCACAGTTTTTGTTGTTTTTATCCTCACCCGAGGACATTTTCCCACTTTTTGTTCAGATAGAGCGGGAGGGGGAGAGAGAGAGAGAGAGAAACATCAATGTGAAAGGGACACATCGAGTGGCTGCCACCCGCAAGACCTAACCAGGGCCGGGGACAAACTGCAACTGAGGTACGTGCCCTTAGCGGGAACCGAACCCGGGTCTCTCTGGACCGCAGGCCGACGCTCTAACCGCTGAGCCAAACCAGCCTGGGCCCCACTGGGTTTTACAGCCAGAAGTGATAGGGACTTCTCTTCCTGGCACTGGAACCCTGAGCTGGGGGTCCTGGTGTAGTACAGGGCCTCCTTGCTCCTCAAAGAGGGCCTTTCCAGCTGAGGTATTCTGAATTTTATCCGCCACACGTGTGTGCCTGCACCCCTGTCCATGCCTCCACCCCTCCGACCAGTCTCAATGTGGCTGCTTCTTTATTTTCATAGTTGTAGGACTTCCATTCAGCTTGATTTCAGGCGGTTCTGAATGACGG